CATAAACGAGGTTTAGGCTAAGCGCCATCTGCGCTCGGCCACCTCAAGCCCGGTGAATCTGTAAATGCCTCTTCAAGGCAAACAGTGGCCGTTCAGTCACAAAAAAATCGCACAACCGTTGTGGGATAGTTTAGTCAAAGGTGTGCGCCCGCTCTAAGGTAGTGAGGTGCGGTAGTGCGCGCGATGGTAAACATTTCGACAGCGGGCAGCTCTCGGCGCGCGGTAATTCCCCGTGATTGATTATCTTTTCGACTAATGAGCTCCGAACCAGTCTTTTGCGGTGTGGTGCAAGTGATAAGTTTACAGCGAGGATGACTTTTACTTCGATAACTATTAGAATCAGTATAAGATCATTATTAATTTAAATACTAATAGGAAGGGCAAATTGTGGATTTTTACTATGTTTAGAATGAAGTACTATTCGTAAGTGGAGTAATGCAATTTCATGTATACCATACCATAACAAACTCAACAAAAAAAATTAAACCTTTTGATATCGCTTCTTTACTGCAATAAATATTATTTTTCGTATTCCTGTAAGATGTTTTATTTTTTACAGCTACCAAATATTTAATACAAAATTAATTAATTTAACTCCAACTTAAGATTGTCAGGTGTTATGTGAGAAAATTCTACCCGCTACAGCTTGTGGTATGAGCCGGTGACATTATGAATTATGATCGCTTTACCCTCACAATAAGTGCATAAATAGAAGCGAGCTGATGGGCGGTATAAATCACCCGCCGCCATCCATCATCTGCGAGGCTCCAGGAACTTGCTGCCAATATGCTGCAGCACCCGTGACCCTCGCCACATCACACTACAATCTACACAACAAGTAAACATATAGCTAGAACGAAACTACAGTTATTTAGTTATGTATGGAGTAAACTTATGCTTAGAAATACAAATACAATCTTATTTTCTAAAGACCATTCGGCCGAATACCGAAATGTTATGGTAATACTAACTTTCGCCCGCGACTTCTTCCCAAAGTATCAAAAAAAATCAATAGAAAGTAGCCTATGTGTTCTTCCAGACTATCCTCCTCATCTCTGCCAAATTTCATCTAAATCCGTTCAGGCGTTTAGTCTACAAACTCTAATAAACATCCATCCATACATCTACACTTACGCATTAATGATTTTAGTAAGATGTAATAGCTACATTTGTAGTAAATATATAAGTTTCGTTTCAGTATATAGCCGTTAAATTAATAACAAATCAAACAAAGTGAATAATGTAAGAAATTTAAAGGAATAAACTTTAAAATGAATTCACGATTGTCACCAATGCGACAATGTTAAAGAAAACGTTACAATTAACAGATAAGGATTAACTTAGTAAAGAAGTAAGCTCCGAATACGCTGGTAGAAGATAAGAATGGCCTCACACCGGCTGGAGTAAGCAGCAAGTATTTGCATACGGCGGCACTAATGAACCGCAAACGGCAGCAGCGATGTTCCTCGCGCAATAAACGTCGGAAATACTGCAGTTTCCGAACTAAAGTATGTTGTTAGCACACCACTAGTCACGACTCTATCAAGAGCTTTTAAAACTTATACCACTTTAATTTGTCGAATAAGGTTGAAGAAAAAATATAGAAAAACCGCCGTTGAAAAATTGTTTACAGTTATTGCTTGACTGTACTTTTTATAGAGTTAAGCAATTTATGGAACGGTCTAATCAAATTTTAAATCTTCAATTCTGATAAAATTATTTTATTTATTAAATACAGTAGTTGTAAGCTTTCATTGTATTATAACAACGTCAGCGTGTGCTAAATTATTTAAAGTTTAATACAGAGTACGTGAATGCATACGTAATGTGTGCAAACACGACGTGTGCGAACTCGAGCGTCGCCTGGCCGTGTCAACCGCGCTCCTATCTGCGGAAGTCGCACGGTGACTTGCTTTCAGACATCTCTTACTGAACTAACATTACTAATCTAACAGAATTGGCACAATAATTTAAAAGAAAATTCATCTTTAGTTTGTTGGTTGAAAGTTGTACATATTAATAGGAAACAAAACGCAGAATTACATATTCCTTTCCCTATAATAAAGCCATCAATACCACTAAATATAGTGATTTTTAGAAAGGCGATTTAAATGTGAAATTATTTTGTCAGCTCATCTACCTTCTGTACCAAATTTATTACAGTAACAAAATCAAAATCTGCTAAAAACTGTATTAAAATTCTTGCTGTTCTATCTAAGTGTTCCTAAGTCTGTGTGGTGTGCCGGTATCGCTGCGGGCACAATGCGGCCACTAAGTGGTTGTCGTCCGTCGCCGCTCGGCGCTAGTTGCGCGATGTATTTGCTTAGGGAAACGTCTAGAAACGTCTAGGCACGTCTAGATAGCGCCGAGGCCGAGCGCCACCGAGCAGGCTGCACTTCAAACTCTCCACGATTCTCCGGTTGGGGCGGAATAGTTGATATTCATTGGACTCACAACACTTCATACTAATGGATGGTAAATGTTTTAAGGATTTTGAATTCAGTAATAATATACGAATAAAATGTTATCTAACATTTTTTTTTTATCATTTGAATTTTGCTTAGTGCACCGATGCTCCAATTTTCGAATCACCCATGTTCTATGGCTTGTTCTTAAGTTGAAGGTAGGTCGTGTCACGGTGACAGCGGGTTAAAAAGACGCTCTCATCGTGTCCAGCGTCCAGCGTGCAGCGCCCCGCCGGGACAGTAGCCACGCGCGTCACGCCCTGTCTGCCGCGGCACGTTTGATGTGCGCAGGGTTGTCACAACAGGAACACAGTTTTAATGTCACTTTAGATCTTGACTACTAATGTCTGTATTCATACAAAAAGTACAACAAAATGATATTGAGAACAAAAATCATTAAAGTAATTTTTTAAATATCATAAGATCGACGTTTATTTTAAAAAGTAAAAGAAACCGTATAGTTTCTGGTGGCAACCCTAGTGGGGCGTCTTGTCGGCGTTTATTACATCAGTGATTGTTGCCGGCGTGACGCGGCGTCCGCCTGCCCTGTCAGCTCCCACGCCGCTCCGGATTCGACAAGTCACCTTCGATTACTGAACCTAACAACGTTTTGTTCTTATTTGACCATAAGTCAATGTGTTTAGTGAACCTGAAGGTAAGAAGATAGTCCAATTAGACGACTGGATCAGGCAGGGTTTTCAAGAACAGAGTAGAATCAGTCTCATTTCATAGAACACTTTTACTGCGACATAAAACGATAGGGTAGGCAGAAATGACGAAGCATTTGAGACGGTTTCCACATTCATAGGTAGTACACACATGCAGGTAATTTTCAGGTGTTCTTGATATCGCCTTTCTTGAGTATTTCTTCAATCTACGAGGCATAAATCCGCCTTGGACGATCTCGACCAATATTAATTATGTATAATTAAATGAAAACACGATATTTGTATACTTTTTACTTATACTGCTTAGTTTATCATCTCAAAAAATTACTTTAGCAAGATAAGTTAAAAAAATAATAAGATTTAAACACATCATTTACGTAAATTGATGTTTCGATTTCTTTAAACACCGGTTAAGCAACATTCTAAATAATAAAAGTGAAAACTAAAAGTGATTACATTATAAAGCCTTGAAAGGAAATAACAAAAGATGTTCGATTACGTAGTTAAAATGACTAGCGCTTTGTTGGAACTAAATAAACAATGAAATGTCGGTTTTCACCCCATCGCCGGTGGTCCGGCCCCCAGTAGTAAACAATAGTAATCACTTAACACCAAACTAAAGCTAATCTTTTACAACTCAAATTATTTTACAACCTTTTAAAATTATTTTGAATCATTTAATACATTTGTACAAGTTACTAGAGGTTTTTTTTAATCTATGTAATGAATTTTTCCAATAAGTTTTTTCTTAAAACATAAAAACATATAGCCAAGTTACTTATCTGTTATGTTGGCTGTATATTATGTTGATTCAATCCAAAACATAGTTTACAAACTTAATGGCAGTAGAGCCATTCGGCCATATACAACGTTGTATATGAACGGGCTTGGGTGATAAGGGTAGACAGGACCCGACAGAAAATCGACAGGAAGTAGCTGTTTATTGTTATTTTGTCAGTGAATGTAATAATTAAACTATAATAGTAGACCAGATAATATTATATCAAGAATCGGTTTATATCATCCCGTATCAATTTGTAAGAATATTCTGTATTTACTTACCTTTTATAACAGAATTGGGCAAATAATTAATTTGTAACTGTATTTTTATCATTTTTCATAAAATTAACATACATAACATATAAGTACTTACGGCTTTAATAAATCTCTTTTAAAGGAAACTTGTAAAGTTTTAAATATTCAGAAAAAATGATTAATAACAAATGATAAGAACATAAAGAGGTTGCCGTCGTTGTCCCAGCAGTAAACATTTTGACAGTGGCATTTAAATGCATTCAGATAGCGATCTCTGATGTCCGCATCTCAGCGTGACGCAGTTTTTACACGCCGCTCAAAAGTCAACATCGTGCGCCGTCAAAACGCGCGCAGATGACGATCAAACTAAATTATTACCGAGCAGCCGTTTACCTCGGCTATTCAATTTCCCCGCCATGCATCTCTGTCGTCGCATCGTCTTTGCATGTTTCATATAATCCTTTCATCAAAACGCGGAAAGCGCTCTAGCAATTTTTCTCGCGCGAGAAAGAGAGCGACAGACGGGGACGGGGTGTCAAGCGGCGGTGGGGATAAGACGGCTAAGCTCCCGCAAAGTACACACAATGCAAAAATGGCGAAGCGACGAGTGACAGCGCTCTGACAGGCGCGGGGGGACGGCGCACACGGACACGACGGGACTCAGTCCTCCGCCGTCAGTCGTGCGAGCCGCACGCGTCGCTACCCAGTGCCTGTGACTTGTGGATTATGTGCTGACAACGGAGTATTCATTTCGTGAAGTGCTACAATTATTTTTGTGAGTGAAGAAATTATCAAAGCTGGAAAAGGATACCGTCTTGTGGAGCAATATGCTCACGTCTAGCAACCAGTACCTGCGACCGGATTACCTGTCGCCGCTGCCCACCACGGTGCGTTTGTAGACAGCTTTATTTATTTTGACAGTTGGACAGGTGTATTAAACTGTTGGCAATCACAAAACTTTTTTCATAACATTTTGATCAAAAAACAACTCTTAATTTTTCCTCGCGAGGTAAAAAATTAAACCTCCTAAAAAACTCGTGTTATAACATTTATTGTAAAACGTTTATTGAAAAATCAAATTGTCTATAAAATGTATTAAAACGTGCACAAGTAATTAAATCCAAAATTTTCACATAAAATAATTATATTTTTTCGATCAAAAATAAGTGTTTGCAAAGTTGGCTATTTCTTAAAATTACATGGAAAAAATTATGTTTTAAGTCTTCAATAGGAAAAAAATTAGTTCTTATTACCAATTCATTTTTTTATTACATTTTAAATAATAACCAAAAGGTAACAAAAATGCTTTTGTTCTCTAGAAACAAAACTACTTATAGTAAAATCATAAAGACGCTGTAAAATTTTAACATTATTTTATGAACTTCGAATAAAAACAAAAGTAAAACGTTTTTGTTAAAACATAAACTTTAATCCTACTTCATAGTCTAATTGGATAAAACTATTGCTATCTTGGAATAATAACTAGGCTAACATCAAAGTTTTAGTAAGTTTATCTCGTAACATATCTTTTTATTTTTAAATCATCATAAACAGAGGAAAAAGAGGATAATTATGGCAACATAAAAAACATAAGATTATTGAATGCAATGGATATAAAAATACTATTTTTTGCAACTTCAAAAATTAGTTTACGAATTTTTTGTTATTCTTTTCTTATACTTTGCAATAAAGCATCACGAACCAGTGTTGGTTGGACAATATTTTAATAATAATAAGAGTAAACAACAAACATATAAAAACTTTTTATCTCAAAGTCAAATTCGTGACTGAAATGTATTTTCTTTTTTGAACGTGGAATTGAATATTTGATGTGCCATAAAATTAATGATCGCAATTTACATAAACGTTTATCTAAACCTCTTATTTCGCGTTGTTTTCATTTCTTTACAATTTCATATAATTGTTATCATAATTAAAATGTTTAAATAGTTACAGTAGAGTTAAAAATAAGCATTGATAATTGATGTAGGTTTTTCTCTGATAACATTTAAATTTTTTATGTCAACATCACTGATGTATTTAGTTATTTCTTCAATTTAAGTAAATATCGTGATAAACAGTAAGTTTATCGTTAGGATAACGAAATGCTTGATAGCATAATTATATACAACTCTGCATGCTTTAAAACCGCATTGCATAAGTAACATTTAATTATAACCAACATTGTTTTATACAAGCTACAAACTGAATTGGAAAAGCTCAATTTTAAAAAGCAAAATCAACAAATTTACGCTGAATATAAAATATTCCCCCGAATGTTCATTGAGGCAGTAACGCCACTCCCGCGATAATAGAGTTGACAGCGCGCCACAAGTTCAGGCGCGCCGCAAATTCAGCGGCACAAATTGCCCTTTTCACTGGGAGATTACATCATGCGGGAGCCGAGTGAAATGTCAAGCGAAGCCGACGGCTGCCAGACGCGCGGATAATGGCGCGTCGGCCGCGTGATTGGACTCCCCCAGCCCCGGCACCTCGCCACCCCGCGGTCCCTTTGTGTGCCCGTCACTCGCAACCTTGACCCGACGTTTCATTTCATAAACCTCTCTTTGTTGCAGCTCGACGCGAAAAAGAGCCCGCTGGCGCTTTTAGCGCAGACCTGCAGTGCCATCGGCGCCGACACACCCAACCCCAAACTGATCTCCGCCGCAGAGAAAGCCAGCAAGAAGTACGAAGACAAAACAACCATACACATGGATAACAAACCAAGCTTCAAGCCCTACGAGTCATGCCTGACGAGAGAAAAGACTAGAACTCCGGAGGACAGGTCTTCGGCCAACCCACATTCGAAGACGCCTCTCTCTTCTAAAGGGAGCACGTCGACGACTCCAGTGCAGGCCCGGTGCCATAGCAATCAGAGTTCCTCGTCTCAACGCACGTCACCACCTGCACATCGCAAAACACCATCGGAGAAATCGGAGGAACGGTCCAGTCCTCTCAATTCCCCGATTCCTGCAAAATCTAATGCGGAGCTGACCAGCTCAGCGTCCAAGTTACCATACATACCGACGTCCCTGACGTCTAGTGCCGAAACCAAAGAATCTTCAAGCTTCAAGCCCAGTGTACCAGTGACGTCCTCGGCCTTCCTGGGTGGATTAACTCCGAGCGGCTTCCCGCTTCCGATGGATTTAATGACTAGCAGTTTAATGGCCGCTCAACACCACGCATTAAAGAACGGTCTAAATCCATACCTCGCCTATGCCAGAATGAAGGCTCCAGGAAGCGATCTTGGCATCTGCCGGGATCCGTACTGCACAGGCTGTTCTTTAAGTTCTCATTTGCTCAAATCTGCGGTTTGTCCCGCCGGCTGCGCTCAGTGCGATCACGCCAAGACACCGTTCTCCCTGCCGAGCGGACACCCTGCCGCTGCCGCATACGCCCACGCTCAGCTGGCGGCACTGGCGGCAGCGTCGCAGCTGCCCTTTGTGTGCAGTTGGATGGCGGGTGATTCTGCCTACTGTGGGAAACGATTCGCAACCTCAGAAGAGCTGCTTCAACATTTACGGTCGCACACGGCGAGCGGGGAATCCAGCCCAAGCCTATCGATGCTAAGCGCAACACACCCGCTGTTGCAGCGCACGTACCCCACGCCGCCGCTGTCGCCGCTCACACCGCGCTTCCATCCGTACAGCAAGCCCTCGCACCTGGTGTCGTCGCCGCCGCTGCCTTTCCCGCTGCCTCCACACCCCTCGCTGGCCGCCTACTTCCCTTCGTACCCGCTTTTTGGCCCACGGCCGCTGCACCCGTGAGGACCGTCGGCGCTCCACGCACACAAGAAGGGGGGCGCCGATCGCTAACGCCCATTCGTAAACGGACAATCGGAACGGAGGAAGTGTAAATATAGGTTAGTGTTCTTCCAGTTTCTAGTCGGCTCATATCATCGTCGGACGCGAAGGCCTAGTGGCCACACCAGCTGTGATCTCTAACTCGTAATATTCGTTATAGTTTAGTGCAGCGGACTCCGCGAGGACTCCTCTCTCGCCTCGCCGCCGCCGCTCCTCGCTGCGTGCGCGGTCTTTACTTTTATAGCTAGAATAACGAAATTTCTATGTACCAAATCGATAGAAGTAATTTAAATAGTTTTTTTTAGTTGTTGCGAATAATTATTGAGAATTGTTAATTAATTGTGTTTGTATTTTTTATGTAATCGATGTATTTCGAAAAATACCTGATGACACTAATCACATATCTCTGCAACTTAAAGTTAAGGAATAGTATGCGCTAAAGTAATTATTGTAAAATATAAATGTTACCGCAAATCAATGTCCGGGTTATTTGTGTAGCCACTTTCTACTTTTATCTCATAAGATTTGAACACAATTTATTTAGTGATTTACATTTGATCGCTTGCTGTACCGGCACTCTGTTGTCTGACATAAAATGATAAATAGATGTAATACTATCGATGTTGAACACATTAATTGTATCTGTGGACAGAAGCTCGTAATTGCATGTACTAGATTCTTACGAATTGACACTACACTGTAAGTTCTTGCAATCGATATCTGTTGACATAAAGATTTGTTGTTATAAACGAATATAAAATTGAAAAAAAAATATACGTAAATATTTAATTCAGAAACTCTCGTTTTAATTCTCCTACCAAACTATCCAGAAAATACATTTACATTCAAATCGTGCTGTATCCTAAATTTAGTGAAAAAAATGTTTACATTACTTTACAGAAACAATCGATTAGCATAAATGAGTCGTTTATTAAGTGAATATTACAATACAAAACAGCAAAATGTGTATAAAATGCAATCTATTTCGCTAATCACACCCGTCAGCCGTATATAACAATTTGAGTGTGCAGACGCGTCAGCAGATCCGGCGATAGCTTTCACAAGGTATCGGCCTCGCAGTGCAATCGATTGTGATCGCAAATCATTTTTCTCTGCAACACCGTGTGACTCAGATCCGCGAGCGTCCGTAATTAGGACCGTTGCGGCTTCCACAACAATAAATTATGAGCAATTTATCTGTCTGTCTGTCGCCATACATCACGCTCCGCGGTGCATTTACTAGCGTTGAAATATTATGACCGATGGTAGGTCTAGACGTGCCATTTGTTGACGCCTCCGGCCCGCTGCCGCACCGCGCCACACCGCGCCACACCGCACCACAGCGCTGCAACCCTATCATCTTTCAAATTAATGTAACGATCGCTTCAATGACAATGAGTTATTCATAAACCGTACCTATTACATCTAACAAAGGAATGCAATAAATCGCGTAACACTAATCTGGCGTCGACTCAATTGTACACTTTATGTTGAGTAATTCCAGCTCACGTATTACTTAGCTCTTATCTAGGCTTCTATCTGTTGTAACATTTATGGCGTTGTAGTTAATGTTATAGTAATGAACGGCTATTGCGTTCTATTTCCTTACTTAGTTGCGATTAAGTTAATGCCTTAGTATATCATTATACACATTATTTAGTAAAAAAAAATGTAATAACGTAATTGTTTTAGAGCAATTTATTTAGATCATTGTAATTATGTGCCACAGTCCAAATCGTTTATGTGACTTGAAGAAAAAGTCAAAGATTACTTAGTCATATTTAATAAGTAATAAGTCCTCATCATGCAGTCAGAGCAGACATCGTAATAATTCAATTTTAATGTGACTTTATTATTACCATGTAATTATTATTTATTCCACATCGAATCAAGTACATTATAATTAATGTATCCAAACATTACCTTAAATATAATTATTTATCTAAACTGTTTTGCGAAATAAACATAACGTTAAGAAACGTCAATAAGTAATGTTTTTTCTTAAATAAGTGCATAAAACCAATCATTACACTGCAATAAACTTATGTTTATATCTTCAAAATAAACGCTTTAAAGATTATATCTGCATCAACAACTATTATGAAGTTACGACTTTCCGTTATGTTGGTAACCCCTGCCTCTGTTCTCCCGTTCTCCCGCAATCATTTTACATACTGCGGATTACAATTAAAAAAATATAAAATTTAATTGGATTCGATACTAGGTACTGCACTTATTTGCATTCCGACCGAGTCGTATAAATTCGCCATATTATCTGAGAAACATTAAAATAATAAGATGTTGAAATTCACAGCCTGCACTCTCCGCTCGTGAAAGTTAATTACCGACCTGTAATTTATTAACATTATTAACATATTAATATTGTTAACGTTATAACGCTGTTGAGAAATTCAGCCATAACTTTGGAGTCGAGCGCTTAATGTTATTCTAATGGTCACTTCACAAACTCCGCTAAAACTACCATCCATTCCAGTCACGTAATCAATAAACGACTTTATGACTTTATGCTTTTAGATTAAATTCGTTTGCATCGCATCGACAGGTGTTTATTGCTATTGGCAAATGGGATATCGTTCTGACAAGTTTGCAAATTGTATTGAAAAATTATACTGTACACGTGTATGTACGGTACATACGTCGACTTAAATGTGATAAATCTACTTCAAATATAACAAATATGTGTTAGTTTAAACAAGCAGATAAGGCGAATTGAAATTAATATGTTATGTAATGGTTCTGATTTTAACAGAATTAAAATACTGTATTAGATCTAAAGATTCATATTATAATACTAACATAAACACTAACATAGTATTTCTAACTACTAAGAGTCCTTCGCATGCATGCCCATGCGGAGAAGCAACGTGTTGTGCGGCGTCGGAACTCGTCACTTCAAAAGAGCCGCGTACTTTGATGTCGCCGCCGACCGCGCGGTACACTCGCGTGACAAAGTGCGTTGCTATTTAATTTTTAATGTACATTTGACACACATGCGTCATTAGCTATTGTGAGACAGTTTTACGTTGACATATGACAATAATTACCTTCACACTAATTATTTTAGTACAGTGACACAATATTGCGTGCATTTTTATATCATAAAAACAGTTATTTTTCTGACAAAAAACTTTAAGAACCTGTCTTTCGTAGATTATTCCAATTAAAACAACAAACCGAATCCGGAACAATCTATTCATCCAGAGACATTCTTAATTGAATCCGTATTTAATATTTTGAGGGGGAAAATTTGTTGTTTTTTACGTAACGCCTTAACTCAAAAACTACTGGACCGATTTTAAAAATTCTTTCACCATAAGAAAACTACATTATCACTGAGTAACATAGGCTATTTTTTCCTAGATTTTATCAAAATTCTGTATAGAAGTTTTGAGAGCAACAACTGGCGAAAAACATAATAACGTTCTTTCAAAGTCTTAGTTGTGTTTCTGCCTATAACATTTAAGTACATCATGTCATTTTGTCATTGTAGTACGTCGCCCAAGCTCCCGCCACTGCTGAGCCACCAAGCAAACCACAAATCCTTGCAGTAGCCTACTGCTGATGGACTGACCACCGCACGACATTACACAGAACAGGGACAAAAAGATTTGTTAAACTTTATACTTTGTACATGATACCACGAAAGACAAATAAAAATGAATAACTGACTGAAGAAAGGATAAATAAGACTTTAAACAATGGACACTTTTATGGCCGTATATTAAAACGAATCTTAAATATTGCGCTTTCTAACCGTCTCTTACAATATGCTAGACGTGAAAATACAATTTGGGATTTAACGCTGACGCTGTTACCTAGTATTTTTATAAAAACAGAAACTACACAGCCCCTAAAAATATAATCGACATGAAGTCTTGGGCAGTAATAATGTTTTACCAACGAAAAATAACCTTATCATGAGGATAAGGAATTTAAAATTCCGAGCAGTAATGGTCAGTAAATAAACATAGTTTAATAAAACATACAAAAAACAGCACTAACTTTTACTATTTGCTAGGCTAATACGTTGCATTTGAACATGCTAGTCTACGATGTAACACGATTAGGTAAAACAAGCGCGTTAAGGGCTGCGCATTTCCAATGCTAATTTGCAAACATCGCAAGACTTGCTCAGCCGTGACGTTGTTGGTTTTTTGTACCATTTACCTCCGGTGTTGCTGTACTTTGACAAATATTCCCGAGACATCAGAATTAAGCAACTACACAGGACTTAAAAATGAAAAGGACGAAAGGTTGTGATGAGATAACTGATTTTCTGCTTTAATTTGTTATTTTTTTGACACCAAATTAGTAGTCGTTCACCAAGCAATAAACAAAAATTCAAATAATAGCCTAACAGTGGTCGTAATTTTTTATTTATCCTCTTTAATGTCGTAAACCGGATGTGTGGCAACACTACGGGTAATAATATAGCGGGTACTGTCAAAGTCAATATAATTTGATACGTGGCAGCGCAACGCAATGGGCAGATAAGCATCGTACACTCGAGTGGAAGAGTGATTAACGCAGGACGGGCACCCTTCCCCTCTTACTGCCCCGCACTCCCCGCGTTCCCCTGCGCCGCTTTGAAGTCCGCCGCGCCCCCGCGCCGCGCTGTCGGCTCAGATTAGCGTTTGCTGTCAGTCCTTTTTTTACCTTGCATTTTATTTCAAGCGTTTCGCTCCCGTCAGTACTCGAAGTTTAGATTTCTTTATCAGTCGACTACCGCGGCTTTCAAGTAGCAGCTTGTTTTATTTTTAATTGACTCAGTAAGTGCGAAATTACATTACAAATTAAAATGAAAGCAGCTGGTAATTCAAGATATGAGTATTACTTGCAATTTAAAGTTTAAGGAGATTTTATGGATGTTTGTGTTTGCTTTAATTTCCGATTTATGTTTGTAAGATTTGAACAGTTCACCTAATATGTGGCTATCGCTAAAGACTTAAAAACAAGAGCCTTCATATTTACAACTAAAGGGAGAACAATAAATCAAAACTTGTTGCTATCACTTAACTAACTTTAACTTGATCAGGAAACTTCTAGCTACCCACAAGAAACACGTATTTGTTTGAAATGCAATGTTTTAAACAAAATCAGACCCGATAGACAACATCCGACCTTCAAAACGAAAACAAACAACTTAATTTATTAATAAAATGAATGTCCTTCAACGCTAAATTTCAAGGGAGAATATTCTTGAGAGACACTGAGTAAACATTTCAGACGCTAAAATCCATTAGATGAAGACGCGCGCTTTAATGCGGACGGACGGACTGACAAACATCGAGTCATGTCAACAGTAATATTCCCAGACGATGGATGATTTTTTTTAAATTTGATTTATAATTTCACTCGCAAGTGGGAGATAATGCATTAAGACGCGAGGCAGTCTAATTTTAGTAGTTTACAATACTGTGGGTTCGGAGCCAACCCCAAGTTGAGAGTGATTAGGCCATAGTCAATCACGCTAACCCGCTTCGGATAGTTATGAACGTGGTGGGGTACACCGGTAGAGGTAGACTTAGAAAGAGATGGATGGATTGCGTGAAAGATGACATGATCAAGAAAGGAGTGATGACTGAGATGACGGGGATAGAGTGCTTTGGAGGACGAAAACCCGGTGCGCCGACCCTACGGGAGTAGGATAAGGCAGGGGAGATGATGACTCGTCAATAAGTGCTGTTTACATGTTATCCTTAATCTTAGGTATTTATGTGCACTAAACTGATGTGTGAAAACATACTTATTTACTGAATATTCAGTCTCAA